GACAGGACGCAGAGCTGTGTACAAAAGCTGTAGGCATCATACAATCTGGGCACAACAAACTAGAAGGATTTGTTAGTGCACTATGCTGAGCCTTTTGGGTATTTTGTCTATCAGATTAGTCCAACTATTGAATATCACCTCACAGTTCACAGCAGCTTCTGGTACTGTATGATGTAACAAAGATTAATATAGTGTCAGAGGTCACGTTCTGGTCCATGACCACTCCAGGTCAACTCTGGACCTTTAAGACTGCTTCAAGGCTTCCCCAAGACTGTTGTGTTCTAGTTAGTTGCTGTGGACCAGAGTGACGAAAAGAAAGAGAGAGCAGAGAGAGATGGCGCCAGTCAACACAGCTTTGACCAGCAGAACTGTCCAACTGCCCAAGAGGAAGACGTGGACAAACAACCTGCAAAAGCAAGAAAAAAATGTAAGGTACTTTTTATTTTTTTTATAGAATGAGTGTTTCAAAACAAAAGACAACACTTTCAATGTCATCAAGTGTCTCATATTTCTACTTAATTATAATTAAATAAAAATTCTCATTCTTTGACCTATTTTTTTAATGTAACGATTTCAACTGCAGATAAATAAATATCAGGTACGTTTCTGTTGTTCATGCTCCAGCTGTGACCTAGTGCCACCCGGTGGTTTAAACATATTAGTGCAGCTTTAAGAAAGAATAAAACTTACTGAACCATACTACTACTAAACGTTGGTATAGAAATGCTACTTACTCCATAAGAAAGGCCTTGTAAACACAAAGGGCCAACAGCACAGTGACCGGCAGTCTGAAGCTTTTAGGAAGATCATATCGTGTGAACATCCACACGACAGCAGCCATAGCAATGTAATGGACCTACAGAGACAGAAAAACACCTTAACGAAACACTTTTATAAAGTTATACAGAATAAAACAATAACAATAAGTAAAAAAAAAATTATATATATATAAATTAACATGTTTTGTTAAAGCAAATAGTAAGAATATTTAAATAACTATTGGCACAGACAAAAGTTTCAGTGAAACAAAGAAACCTGTGGAATTTCCCATTTGATTATAAATATATTAAGTGATGTAGAAGATAAATGACAGAGCAGTAAACAAAGCATCCTACCAAACTGATGTTTGAGTCAAAGCTCATCTGGACGTATTTCCAGTCAAACTCAATCCCTCTGGCTCCCACCCACAGCGGAAGACACCTAGAAAGTTCAATGCATAAGTCAGGTAAAGTCATGAATGTGTTCAAATGAAGCCAACGCTGCTAATAGTTACCACATACCTGGACATGACAAGTTCTGCTGTTGCCCATCCCATGGCAGCCACCATGATCTTGTACTCTCCTTTACCTGCATTACGAGACATGACAAGATGAAGGCCCAAAAGATCTGCCAGGTCTACTGTCGCCTTCATGAACTCCTGAAAGACAAGCACAGCCCCATTTGAAACCAGCTTGGAGTCTATATCAACAAAGACAGCCAAAAATGAAAAAAAAAAAGAAAGAAAACAATGTGTGTTACTGTGGTTGGGCTTTACACTTACCCCTACAAAATCATAAACTCCTGCTCCTCCTTCCCATGTAGGGAAAAAAGTTGCCAAGAACAGCATCTGAAATAGAAAAGCCACATTTGCTTACAAACACACAACTGCTGCATATTATATTTGTTTTATTCAATGTCAGTTCATTACAGCTCACGTACCTTACAGAGCTGTACAAACAGGTAGGTTGCACCTGCTTGGACACATCTCCAGAAGGCGTTGTACTCTGAACTGAAAACCAAATCCCACACATCACATGTTAAACAGTAGAACAAGACACAATTAATATCAAGACTGCACCAAGAAAGGCAGAAGCTTTATATTCAATGTCTTAATGTTATATAAAAAAACAAAACAAAACGTAAACACTTGTTTACACTTTAGTTACACTGAGGCTAAAATCTAGACCAGGCGGCACAGTTCTAAGAGGATTATACAAATCCCTCCTAAAAGTCTGTCATGCTAAGTTGATTATTAACTACTAGTCTTTGAGCATGCGTTGGTGAAACATTAAGAATTTTCTAGTAACTTAAAACCACAACACCAAACTGTGTCTGTAAACAGGTTACACATTCACAGTAAAGAACAGAACACTTACAGTCCACTGCATTTGTATGTTATGAAGTAAGGAAAATATGCCAGAGCAATGCAGTTTCCAAAGTGAAAAAGTGTCATGGTGTCTTGCCCTAGTGATCAGCTCCTTTTAGAAAGATAACACAATACAAAGAGAGAAAGTTACGTATAAAGACAAAATTGTTGGATTCTACATAATGTAATACCGTCAATTTAACAAATTAAGTATTTAACCAGGCAATGATAGGGTAACACAAAGTAATTAGATCAGTGTCAATGTGTTTATTATCGTTTGTTTGGTTATTACAAGAATAAACCGTGAAATGTCATTAAAAATATAATATTATGTACTTTATCTTCAAAACCAGTAGTAGGGCCGGTGCGAACACGCCGCCACAGCTAACTGTTAGCTTCTTACGGTGGTTTTATACTGTGAATACACATACGCAACTCTGGGTGTTTTCTCAGATGTACAATGATATCTAATTGTCGATAGTTAAAGAAGACAATGGCAGTACTTACTATCAGGTAAGAGCTGAGACGAAGAGTCAAACGTTTAAACGTCTGTGATCTGGCTGAATGACAACCGGAAGTGCATCTGGTTCTACCTCAAAATGCTCCCGACAATAGCAGGTCGAAGACAAATAAACGTTCCACAAAACGCCACTTAATTTTAACGATAAAAAGATTATTAATTTGATTTATTTTGTTTTTCCATTTTTTTCCCGTCTGAGCTATTCACGTGTGTCGGTGCTGTCAGTGTGTCTTTCAACCACAGAGTCGGGTTAATTACTTGGCTCTTGTGTGTTGATATGACCCACTTAACTCCATGTTTCCGGGCGTTTCTGACATTTGATGACAGATTTACGTTAAATTGTATTTGCAATTTTATTTGTAAAGCTAACCCACACGTTTACATATTCAGACGTGGGTGGGTAAACAAGGTTGACTCGACCTTAAACTAAGCGCTAAGCAAGAAGTTTCGACTTTGTAAAAGTAATGTTGTGCTGTAAGGTAAGGACACAAACACACAACAGTGTAAAGGAAGTTACACATATGCTACACTTTTCTATTCAATCATTCCTTTATTGGTTTTTGCTCTGATAAACATTTCAATTTACTTTGAGTAAGATATTAACATACCGTAATGATTTAGCATCTACTTGACAATCCTATCTTACTGTCAAGTCACCTAAAATAAAATGTATGTCTGTGGCACACAAAGTTTCTTTTCTCAGTGCAGTCTCTAATGGTCCAGTTGTTGGTGTCATTTTTGGACAGGGTCCCACAGTGGGCTGTCTGGGGTGGACAACTTGGCAGCTTTCCCTGGTCGTCTGGATTCTGTCCATTCATCCACAACCAATGTCCTCCCAGGAACTTGAGGCCAATCCAGACCTAGGAGACAAGAGGCAAGCATACACTTAAATTATACCTGACAGTTAAGAGATTGTAAAGAATGTGCCTGTGAGGAACAAACTAAAAAAATAAAATGGTTAAGACAGGGTTTAGAGAAAAACATTGTAACTATTTTGGGCTGGAGACAAAGATATTTACACATCCTCTTACCTCATCCGTTGTAGCTTTGTTGAGCAGGTCTCTGACATAGTCATAGTCCTGCAAACCTCCCAGGGTCAGAATTGTATAGCCACTCGTGCAATTTGAGTTAAAACATTGAGGTGTGATGTTCCCGCAGTGCCTGAGAGCCTGCTCCCATGTCTTGTTCTCATTCACCACCACCACGTTATCATCATAGCAGACAAAACTAAGCTCTGTGGAGCATTCATAGCTGTATAAACGTCCATTGGAACTTTTTAATGAGCCACAGTCTTTGGTGATGGGCTCACCTGCTGCCCAGTTTGTGTACAAAGATGATGAATTTCCCACCCAGACCCATTTGCGTTCTGCCTGACGGTGAAGTCCAATCCAGCCAGGGCTTCTGAAATCGTTTGAGTTTGCCATGGATACAACAGAGATGTTAACTTTCTCTGACAGACAGTAACTTAAGCCCTCGTGCCACGTCTTCTTACTGGGTGAACTGAAAGTTTGGTTCTTGTCTGAGCAGTGGACTTTATATTTTTTTGAGCACAGCTCACTGTGCCACAGTTGATCCTCTCCTACAAGAGCACAGTGACTGCTCTGTTCATTGTCTCCCCAGATGAGGCTAGATGAAACATCAGGTCCTGCTAAACCTTCTCCTGCTCTGAAACAGACAGAACTGATAATAAAGCAACTTTATTTTGCTTCATCCACACACATCTCAATGTCAGCACAATAATGTTTTCAAACAGAATACTTACATTACATTTATCCATTTCCAGACCGAGTCATTCATAGGGTCTCGGTGCAGACCAATCCACACTGAATCATTATGAACTGACCCCAGGCTTTCAGCTAAACTTGAGTCAGGCATAACTTTCCTGGTTATGAGGTCAGTGTGGTACTTCTGACAGAAAAGTCTCGCCTCTGTCCATGTCTTCTTTACGGGTGGGACATGGAAAGTTCTCTCAATGAGAAGAACCTCAAAGCAAAGAGCAGCGATAATCAGGAAGGAGAATTCCAACTTGGATATGGTCTTTTTCCCCATGACTGGATGTGACCTTTTCTCGTTAATAACCAAGTCCAAGCTCTATTTGCAGAATCTGTGTGAGGTCAGTGTTCAGTAAGGAACTGTCACTCACTTTTTATACATAACATATGCATAAATTTGCCTGGCCACTCCCACCCCACCTTTTTTAGGATCTAAACTTCTTGTGGGCAGGGTTAGAGTCATTGTCCTCTGACATTTGGAAGTTGGATCCAGGAACATAGATGGACCATAGTATGACCCCACAGATTGGTCATCAAAATACAGTTAATTTTGAATGCCAAAAGCTCATCCTCTGTCACTTTTCTGCTGTTTGAAGAAGCTTTCCAAACACTTGACACGTATCAAGGGGATTTTGAAACCTGGAGAATTTGGTCATTTATGAAAATAAATCATTTTTACCAATAACTAATTAAATTGAAATAATATGCTATTCGCTTTATCTCTTGTGTCAGTCCAAAGTCCTGTGCTTGGGGACAGCTGCCTTAGACTTTGTTACATTATGATTTAGCAGTGCATTCATAGAGATCTTATTGTAAATATTTTTAAAAGAAAATTTAAAAAGTCTTTCAGTTATATTAGTATACATAAATGTAAACACTTTTTAAATACTCTAAATGTCTAAAGGTAAATACATAAAGGCTGAGGCCTCACAATGTTTTTTCCCATACATTAATAACCTTGCTTTTAAATAGACTCTTTCAAAGTAGTCTATTAAAAGAAGATACTGAAGACTGATGGGTCTGCTGCACAACTCTACAGATAGGTAAACAAAACACAACCAAATAGACAAAGCAGACACAAATCCAGGCATGTGTTGTCCACAGTGGAAGGATATGCAAGTTTAATTTAAATCTTATAGATTCAAAACTGTCTAGTGTCCACGGATGAAGGAGTTAGACTTTAGGAAAATCATCTGATTTGAATTTGCTGTTGATGACCCAGCGTGTGCTGTCCGTGTGCTTGACCAAAGGGATTGTCATTTGAGTTCGATTTTCTTTTTTCCAAATTAAATGATATGCATCACTGAACTTCTGGTAGAAAAGCAGAACAGGATGAAGATTGTTTTTATTCTGTGTGGTCTATGATGTTTGCAGAAGACAATGTGTTCTGTAATAAGAGTAGGGAGCAGGTGAAAGTGAACATAAAAGGTAGTTACTGAAGGCAGATGATTGAATGACTGCTCATAGTCGTGCCAAACAGCGGACTGTAAATGGGTAGCTTTGGATATCGATTGGATTTTAATTGAGTGAAGAAGACATCCAGGACTGGAGAAAGGGTCAGATTTCAGGCTCAGAGAAGAGGAATAAGACAAATTAAAAAAGGGTTGAAAGGAAGTTAGAGTTTTTTTTAAAAAATAGACAATTTTCTTTTTCTTTATTATTTTTGGGCACCATCTAATTTGCTTTATTAAACCTGCTGTCATGATAAACAATACAAATGTGTTATATTTTTATGTTGCAGTACTTCCTTTGAGCCAGTAGATGGCATTGTAGTACAAATGTCTGCTATACTTTGTCACAGATCACCTTTTTTCCCCATAAAACAAATAACTCTTTCTGCTGCCATAGTAGATGACATATGAAAATTTAGTGTATGTGTGTGTTGCTTAGGGCTGACCAACTTTACACACGCTGTGTGAGCACATTCAACAATTATACACATTCAACAGACTCCAGAAATGAACCTGAAGATATTGAGGTTTTAAACGTTTTATTTCTTTGTCTTATAACCTTTCAAGTGAAGTTACAGTAGCTCTCCCTCTCAGCTTCCTCCTCCTTAAACTGGTGATAAATTTTCAAACACACCAACAGGGAGATGGATACAGTAGATACCATTAGTAATTCATAACAACACATCTAATGTGAGGGTGGTTGGTGGAGAGGGGGCACACAGACACAAATACTGCCACTGACCACATTTCTCATCATTAAAGGAAATCAACAGAACACTGAAACACGCTGTTGCTGCTTCCTACATATGCTGTAGTAGAGCTAAAGGCTGTGAGACTATAACTCAGCTATGGGCAGGGGGACTTATGTGTAAAAGAGAAGACAGGACATGGAATGATGGTTGGGGTGGTCCCTTTCCTGACTCCCTTTTAAAGGGAAGTGCCTACTCCTTGGAGTGCATGTAGAGCAGCAGGTCAGCAACACGGTGGCTGTAGCCACACTCGTTGTCATACCTTTGAACAGAGACAGAGTGAGAGAAAAACAGTCAACAAAATGATCACAGTCAAAAGACAAACTAGTTTCTTTCTAAAAGAAATGTTCAGGAGAGCCATTAAGAACTAACCAGGAAATGAGCTTGACAAAGCTATCGTTGAGGGAGATGCCAGCACCAGCATCAAAGATGGAGGAGTGAGTGTCACCGATAAAGTCAGAAGAGACAACCTTCAAATAGACAACAACAACACACCGGTCAGAAATAATGAGGCCCTTCAATTCTGTAACTCAGCATTAATCATGTTTAATTAGGATTCATCCAAAGCTACCCTGTGATAATCAGATTTAAAATATTGTAATCATTTGATCCAAAGCTACCCTGTGATAATCAGATTAAAAATATTGTAATCATTTGAAAGCCCTTTTAAGTACATTTATTATAATAAAATTATATAGAGTACATGGGACGTTCTCTCACCTGGTCCTCAGTATAGCCCAGCACTCCCTTCAAAGGCCCTTCTGCAGCCTTCTTGACGGCTTCCTTAATCTCGGCATAAGTTGCAGGCTTAGCCAGACGGCATGTCAGGTCGACAACTGACACATCAGCCACTGGCACCCTGAATGCCATTCCAGTCAACTTTCTGCAGGGTTAAAGTCACAGAACAGAACATTTATAAATCTAATTTCATGTCCATGCTACAGCTAATGACCTGATACCACATCCTGCTATACTGTGTTTACCCGTTGAGCTCAGGAATAACTTTTCCCACGGCCTTGGCAGCGCCGGTGGAGGCAGGAATGATGTTCTGGGCGGCACCACGGCCATCACGCCAGGCCTTGGCACTGGGACCATCCACTGTCTTCTGGGTGGCTGTGTATGCGTGGACTGTAGTCTGCCAGTGAGAAGAGTGATATTTGTTTGTCAGCGTTAAGCATACATTTATGCTGCTTCACTAACTAAAAACTTCTGTATTGGATGAACATATGACATGACTCACCATGAGACCCTCATCAATGCCAAAGTTGTCATTAATGACTTTGGCCAGGGGAGCCAGGCAGTTGGTGGTGCAGGAGGCGTTACTAAAAAACAACAAAAAAAAAAAAAAAAAAAAAAGAGATATGATAAGTACACAATCAATAATGTCTGTTTACATTTTAACCTTCAGTTTATTTTTTGATGAAGTGAGGTAAACATCATATTTATACTCGTCTAATATGTCTCACCTGACGATGTGCATAGTGGAGGGGTCATATTTGTCCTCATTGACTCCCATGACAAACATGGGTGCATCAGGTGAAGGGGCAGAGACGACCACTCGCTTGGCTCCACCCTCAATATGAGACTGTGATTGGCCAGGACCAGAAAAGAGAGAGAGACAGAGAGTACAGTTTAGAAACTGAACTATTCGACAGCTAGTGTCCATTTAATATCAAGGCTGTGTATGAGCAAATGTACGTACTGAGGCCTTCTCCACACTGAGGAAGACACCAGTTGACTCAACAACATACTTGGCTCCAGCGCTGCCCCAAGGGATTTCTGCTGGCTTGATACTGGAGTCAAAGAACAGAGACACACGTTTTTTTTTCTTTTTCAAATTAGAATTTCAAATTGTATGAGGTGGGCAAGACTAAACACTAGCTGGGTAGCTGCAGGGGTAAGGATGACAGACAGCACTCTGTTTTATTCCCCTGCCAAGAATGCACTCAGAATAGAAAAGCATAATAACTGAACGTGCATTGCTTTGGAAATGGAAAAGTAATGGCTGAATAATTCAGAATGAACTCTTATGACACTCCTACTTTTATGGAAGCCTCTCTGTGAAATGAAGAAGTTAAATTAAACCTCATCACTTACCACTGGAAAACAGAGATGGGTTGGCCATCAACAATGAGCTTTGAACCATCATAGGAGACCTCACCGGAGTAACGGCCATGGGTGGAGTCATACTTGAACATGTAGACCTAGGCCAGGAGTGAATAATAGGTGACAAGATTATCAAGATTTTTTGTTACAAGGTTTTAACGCTGGTGTTTCATTTTGTTGAGAATATACTGACTACAAAACCAAGTTATGGAAAACCTGGAGTGCTGGCTTGAATTAGGAAAATGTTTAGTCTTACCATGTATTTCAAGTCAATGAAGGGGTCATTGATGGCCACAACCTTGATGCCCTTCTGAAGGCAAGCCCTCAGGACCAGACGGCCAATACGGCCAAAGCTGCAATGACGGCAAAAAAAAAAAAGAAAAGAAAGGAGGATTGATGACTGCAATAACTACTGTTTATTATTTTACTGTGAAACTCCTTTATTATCACAGCTACACAGCCGTCATCACAGCTGTCAGTTTGTGGCTTATCAAATGAATATTCACTAAACAAATACTTTATATGGTTCTACAATATGCTGTATGCTTTACTTTAAAATAATATCATTAAAACAAAATATCCACCAAGAAAAGTGTCTTAATTTATGGCACTACAGTTATTCAATCAAAGCTCTTCTGTTTATAAAACATGTTGTTTTAACTCACCCGTTGATTCCAACACAGAGGTCTGACATGGTTGCTGCTGCTTTGGGGGTGTAGAGTTAACTGGAAGACAAAAACAAAACATTAGATGAAATACAAATACAGAAAATGGAAATAACAGAAAAATGCACTCTAGTCAATTGATTTTTTTTTTTAAATATTTGTTTGTGGCAGTTTTTCCCCCCTATATCTATTAATTAATGCACAAATATTTGTATGTGGATTTAACCAGGAAGATGAAGAGAAGACTGACCAGAAGATGGCAGTAATGCATCTACAAAGACAGCAAATGAGTGTCTGCCTACAGGTCTGCTCCTGATCTTTCCCCATATGCATGGCCCATGGTGGTAAGTGAATGATCTGTTTTTAATACTAAATATCATTTGTTCAAAAATCTTGTGCACTGTGAGTGTTCTATTCTGAACTACTTCATGTAAGTTAATTAACATGTTGGTACAAGAAAAGAAGATTGAAGAAGTGATATTCTATGAGTCAGTCCCTGTGGTTAAAGTTAAGGTCGTCATGATGGAAAAAAAACAAAACAAACAAAAAACACAGGTTGCATAAATGCACAAAATGTTCATGTCCTGCAGTGGTCGGGAGTTGTTGCATCATGTATGGGCAGGTTTAAAAAATAGGAAGGAGGGTGGATAAAGAAGTAGCAGCTAGGTAAGGCCACAAACACAAACTTGTCTGCTGTAGACAATGGAAAAAAACTCTGGACTCGATTCAACTATGCAGCCTCCATCTCCTCTGCTTCCTTCTCCAAGTCAGAAAGTGCATTCAACTTTTTTTCTCCTCCCCATGCCTCCACTCCTCCCACTTTTCCTGCTCCTATTTAACCATTTCCTAACCCCATCACTTCCCTTCCACTGTATTTTACTGAACTCCACCTTCTGTTGTCGTCAGACAACAACAACTCAATTGTTGTGAGTGACTTTCTAAACATATGCATGAGAAACCTCAGAAACAGCGGGCCTTTCATCACAGTGTGTCTATTAGTGACAGACAAGTAAATAGGGGTAATGTGAAGTGCCCTTGAAACCTGTTGGTTGTGACTAAGGACTGCTTTAATCCACTAATCATTCCAGCACATGCGTGCATCTCTGTCAGGAGCGTAAGCTGCGAATCTGGTGAAATGCATTATGGGAGTACTTCAAATAGTAAAGTTAAACAGATTAGAGGCAATGATCTTTTCAGTTCTGCCAAATGCATTCTCACATGGTTGATATTAAAATAGATTTCGGTCAACTGTCTGGTCTGGCTGAAAAAAAGTCTGTCGCTGTTGGTCAAAATCAATGTATTGAACAGTCTGTTATCATTTTTCCATCTGTTTTCTGAACTACTTTTTGACCTTGTATTTTAGGATGTATTTTTAAGCCTAGGAGTAATGTGCTTGTGTATTAGTACAACTTTATATTCAGGGCAGTGCAGCTATTACATGTACAGCTGCTGCCATGGTAAATGATCACCAATGGGAAGAACAAGAACAAGAGACTCAGCAGTGTTACTGTGTTCTCACATTTCTCTCTTGTTCTTGGTTCCCACCGTTACCTACTGGGCAGTCAAAACACTGCAGTTTCCTTGTTGTTGCCTGTTCTCTTTTTTATCCAAGTCTGAATATAGATAAGGAGACAAAAAAAAAAAAAAAGGTAATTTATCGTCAAGTTTACACTTAAGTGATTTGATCACCAGTTTAAGGCAGGAAATGTGTTAAAATGCAATAACAGTTAACACATAAACAGATAGGGTGCACTGTGTCCATTTCCTACAAAGTCTATGATTATGACAACACCCACTATTTACCCTTGTGCAAGTTTTTTTTTTTTTTTACATGTTGAAACCCACTGTTGAAGCACTACTAGCTTAGCAACTATACAGTCACTCTTTTACTACTTTTTCTGACCGTTGCTCAGTTCTGTTCTAGCATGAGGACGGTTCACAGATGAGATATTTTACTTAGCAGTGCAGATACGTTTTCATGTTGTTAACAGCAGAAGGCAATCTGCTGACTCTCATTAAAATGTAGGAAAAGAGGCAACCAGTCAGACATATGATCAAGAAGATCACACCTGCTGTTACATTTTCATTTAGACTGCTACAGACTTATTTATATTTATATTGTTCTTGGCTGGACAAACTTTGGAGAATAAGCTAAGCCCATGTGCTGTAACCACATCTTGATAATTGTTGAAACACTACAATGACTTCTTAATAAAATGGAAGAGACAAACGATTTAAACAAAACACACTGCAGTAGACCCACACAGGTCATTGAATGCATTCATCATTTTGAATTCCACTCTCACCATCTGTCCATTTGTCACCCTAGTGATCCTCTGACACATTCTTTGTCCATCCAACTGGTAGTAGGACAAGAGAAACTACACGAAGACTAAAATAAGAACATTCCTTTTAATTTAAATCACTTTGGTGCCTGAAAGTGTCAGTTAAACGTCTAACATCATCTCATCACTGGTGCATCAACCTTAGACCGCAAGCTGCTTCCACCTGAGCTGAATTAGAGTTCTTACAACAAAAGAGTTTGACAAAATCTTTGCAATCTTTATGTGTGGTGCTGTAAAATGTGATAGGTTTAAGATTAACTCGGGATTATGTGGATCTGGATTTATTTGGTGATACAGTGTGATCATAATAATTGTTTTTAAATCTTAATTTCTTTTTAACCTGTAAGCCCGCGTCCTAGATTTAAAAGTAAATTAGTTAATTTGTTATGTTAAACAGCCCCTAGGTGACAACCAGAAACATAAGTTAAAGGGTAGTTTATCTACCAGCAGAGGTGTAAGTCATGTGACCACTCTGCAGAGGTAGTGCTGAACCACACACACACACACACACACACACATCACACCCTATAGCTTTAAGCAAAGCTGCCATATTTAATTTAAACTTTTATTTCATATAAAAATAAAATATATGGTTTTGCTAATCCAAAATTAAATTACAAATTAAAGGCAAAGCCCCTTCTAGTGTCCATCCCTTATCCACTTTTTTCCATAAATGGTGACACAGAATGCTGAGTCACTCTGGAGTTCCTACTCTATTACACACATCCTGGACAAGATGGCTGCTGGTCTGTAAGTCAGCTGCAAAGAAAGATTCTGAAGGACATTTGCTGTAGCCTCTGCATGAAAAAAAACAAAAAAAACACCAAACTCTCTAAATTAGTCTCTTTGCAGAAACATAGTTGTGAACTTCAGGGGGCAGCAAAACTAAAATGTGTTCATGTTTAACAGACAATGAGAGTTAATCTGCTACGATAAAATCATTAGTAATATATTTGTGTGGGAAACACAAAAGCACCAGTTTCAATATGTTTCTACATTTAAGAGACCAAACATAATTGGACAGAGAAAACTAACCTGACTGTAATCTCTGTTGGTCTGAAATGACACATCCTCTTTGCTACCTACCACATGTGATCCTGTTAATCTCATGACCTATTGGTTTTCACCTTACACAGCTAAGTGGCAGCACGTTTGCTGACATTTACAATTAGTTTGCACTTGATCACTGTGTAACACAGTGACAAAGCCAAACAAATTTCAGATTGTATGACTGCAAAACCTTTGTTAATTTACTGCAATTATTTAACACTTTTTAAAATAAAAGTAAAACACCTCAAATGTTTTATAAGTTATTACAGCTAACTTTAAGAATGCACAAATAAAAACTAGATGCTTATTAATTTAATGTAATTCTACTGACTTTACAGTGACCGTACACATTCATCCTTCATTTACTTTATTGATAATGCTGCAGTCAGAGAACTGGCTGACTCATGCTATGAAGTTGCAAAGTTCCAAAATCCAATCAAAGAACAAATCTCAAACCATGATACTGAGACTAAAAAGCGACAAGAAGAAAACCGCACTTTACCATTACATCTATATAATACATCATATTTTTTAAATATTGTTTCAAAATCAGCGTTTGTAGCTTCCTCAGAAACAGCATCATCTCTTCTGCAGCTGCATCTTTTGTATATTTTTTGTTAAATCTGAAACCATCTGTTCCTTTTAAAATAATGATATACTTATTAATGCAGAGAGACAGAAATATTCTGGTGAAAATATTAAGTCTGTGCCTTAAAGTAATAACAATGAGATGCCATACTACAGTGGCCTACTGTGACCTTCCTCTGCTAGAGTGATGACCTTCAGCAGAGAAGAGAACAGACATGGCTGCATCACTGACATAACTCTTAGGATTATGCTTTTATTCTGGAAAATGCCAGCAACTCTCTATGCTTTTATATTTTTTTAAAGTAATATCTTTATGTCTTATCATAATTCAACTTATACATGATTTAATTAATTTCAGAGTTAAATTAAGTGCTTGTTACAACTTATTGCTGATAGCCCTTTAAGTTAGGTGAAGCTAAGCTGTGATTATTTATTTTTTCCCCCAACATGAGCCTCTTATAAAAACCGCATCAACAGGTCTGTTGAGTCTACAGACAAACTGCCTTTTGACGACAGCGCGGTTTTGTCCTTCAAATGCGTTACAGCGCCTCTCCTCTGCCCATGTACATGATGGCAGTGTTAGCTTTTCGTGGCGGTGACAAACATCACGTCCGCCATTCCTCGTTGCATCATCCATTCAGTCTTTTGAAATGTAACGGCGCAAGCACCCACCGCGGACTTCATGAAGAGGACGAGATGAGGCACGTAGTCTCACCTATCACCATGTTACACAAGCGCCCAGGGCGGCACCGCAGCGCCTCCATCACCGGCTGCTTTTAGTACAAATAATTACATATTTTTGTTTCACCACGTACCTGCGGGTGCACGAATTTAGTTTACTGCGCAATGATATAGGAGCCTGTATATTGTTACATAACATGGAGTCTTGCGCACTTCCGCAAAGATGCAGCAAAAAGGAACTCCCAATGTCACGTTACCCGCTCGATAGAACGTTCTACTTAACTTTCAAAGAATGAATGAAAACCAACAATGGCCTGAGATGCAGATATTTATCCTACAGCATCGTATCGCTCCTGTTTAGATGGAGTTTAAATAGTGTGATGCAACTAACCGACGGAGGGAGAACGTTTATTACACAACAGGCAATTCTATCAAGGCCACGGCCGCATCACCTCCCATCCCTAGGATTCTCTCTTCCTGGCGTTCACCGTGAAAGCCTGTATCCTGCGGAAGGCACTATTTTATTAAACCCAGCGTTTTCTTTCTGCGTCACAATCACTCGATTGTCCTCTGTGTGGCTTCATAACTATTCCGGGGGAATTATACTGCCAAACAGACGTCAGAGTAAATGCTTTCTTTTGCTCAGTTTGTCTTTTAAGCGTCAGAAGCTTCATGGAAGTGTGACATGTTCCACGGCAAATTTGAATGACTGTAACATGAAACCACTTCACCTTCACTATGTAGGTATATACACAGACAGAGGAGCATCAATAAAAAAAATACAAACCTAAGTCATCGGTTTGTACATTGTAGTTTAAAGAAAAAGACTGACTGTAGGCATGAACGCTCACTGCTACTTACCACAAGGCTGATGCTTTCTGAAGTCTGTGTGCGCAGTCCACGGCGCCGTCTTCCGGCTTTATACTGAACACGTGCCTCTAGCGACGTGACGTCATGCCATCCTTTGCAGCAGGGATCCATTCCGAACGTGGGGCTGATCACGGTCTGTGAAAGGCTGCCACAGCGTAGTCAGAGGGATGGTGGATGAAACCAGAGGTCTGGTTATTCTCCTCATGGCCTGTCAATTAGACAAACAGCAGACTCGTGTGGCTTAGAACCGAGTGTTTTATGGCTTTCTTTGAATGTTATTGAGTGTTGTTTTAATTTTCACAAGAGCCAGCTCTAACCGGTTTGGTTCTCTGGGCAGCATTATGAGTGGAGTACCTTATCCAGCACCAACAACTCAATCAATTAATGACAGACATCTGAATGACATATCTCAGTAGTTAAATTGATAATACAGCAAACCCACCCATAAACAATTTTAAATAATATTCAATGACATAAATAACAATAACAAATTAAAAATAATGTGGGATGATACCAGAGATGATGTTCAAATTTTGTGCAAATATCTAGACATTCTCGACTGCCCCAACAATCTGAATAATAAAATGGTGGCATGTATAAACATTACAAAACAGCCCGATATCATAGAAAAAAATAAATACAAAGTTTGCAGTGTGGCCACAGTGCATGATGCAGACCAAGTTCAGGGCCAGGTCAAATAATGAGAAACAATCTTTTCAAGATAGAGCACAAACACCTTTGTGGCCCATGCCAAGAGCTGGCTATGATGTTCGTGGCCAATGTTTCTCTTTCCTCCCATGTGATCCATTCTGAATATAAAGTTTGAAACCTTTGGCAAAGTTCTTATCTGGTTTTGAAAGTAACTTCCTTGCTACATGTTGTGCAGAAGTCTATGAAATGAGACTCCTGAAATGTCAGTCTTTTTTTTTATAGCAAAAGTCTCAATCTAGTATAAAGAGCAAAACTTAAATAACTCAAACAGCTTTTTTTTTTTTTGGCAAAAGTCTCAATCCTGTATAGAGAGCAAAACTTAAATAACTCAAATGAACACAGTGTGAATGACAGTTTGATGATTAAATACATTTCTGGCTACGTGGTGTCATTAGCACTGTTAAAATTAAAGTTTAAATGAAATTACTTTTGAGTGTTTGATGTATAATTTTATGAATATTACTGTGTTTAATTGAAATATACATTATTTAGTGAGGCTTATACTGTTCACAGCCATAAAGTAAAGTGGAAAATGTTTGGACTACATTTTAGCCGAGCCTTCACACCTTAGTGAGGATACAAAATGAACTGAGTCACACACCCCTAGCAAAGGACACAGAGAATGCAGCCCGGAATACTGGCCGGATGCCAGGGAGGAAGTGATGCGAAATGAGTGATGAAGCATGAATACTTCCCTCCATACACACAGACCGGGTGTTTCACACACTACAGGCACAGTATGACGGATAACAGCTAATGTCTATGGCAATAGTAAACACAGTTGTTGTTCTAGTAGGTGCTGTCCCTGAAGGTGGTCTGTTCCACTGCGTGCTCCTTGCATGCAAATGTACAATTGTCAGGCCTCTTATTCAGTGATGTGTTAATGACTGAGTCTCCTTTAAATGTACTGTGTGATGGATGGATGCATCCACATTATGTAAGAGGCTATTGAGCTAACCAGCCTCGTCCATCTGGTTCCCCGTCCACTGTGCCTTTGCCCCCTCTCCTCTTCTTTCCTCTTCTTTCCTCTGTTTGCCTGTCCTCTACTGTCCTCCACGCTCCCCTCCTCTCTTCTCCCCTCCAAATGTCACAGTGTGTGTAAGTGGTGTACGTGACACAGGCTGTGTGCTGCTGTGCAAAGAGGAAAATCCCTGTGTTGCAGTGACTGCAGCACCAGTGCCATGAGCAAAACCACGAACCTTAACCCAGTCATTTTGTCACCTAGATCAAACCACAGTGGAACTGAGAGTAAAGTCATTAGGCCCTGAGGACCAAACTGTCACCCACTGTGTAGATGATTCTAAACTTTTGTCATTGCAATTGATATACAGTATCAGAAACAGTGATGCTGTATTATCTGTGTCTCTCTGGTTGGTGCTAAGAGGAATAAAAATAAATACAGTACGTAAACCTAATAATAAATAAATAATGAAAACCTGATCTCTTGAAGTTAAACTATGGTGCCCTCTGGTGGATATAATATTATATTACATACATACATACACTCAAAAGACAGGAAATTAAAGGTCACAAATATATTTTAAATATATACAAATTAGATATGTTGTATTACGGGTTAACCAATTAGACAGTACCACGAAATCACATTTAGACAACAAAAAGCAAAATACAAAATATTTTTAGAAAATAATGTAAAATGCTGAAGTGAAGCGTTTTCCTTGGCCCTGGGAAACTCTAATGTTTGTAATCTCTTTAGAGAGAGTTGCAGTATGAAAAGAACTATTAACGTTATTGACAGATATGACTCGTCAGTGCAGCACCTGCTATAACCTGTGACCTGCATGACAGTGGAATAAAAATATACAATGTTAGTCATTCTTTGAATTCAAGAGATGATAGTATGATGATGAATACAAGATCAACGTTGTTGTCATTGAGATGCTCACCATAGCTGCTAAAACTGTAATGACAACGGACATGTACTGTCTTCTTTAGTGCAGCAGATGGCGCAGTTGAATAGAGTACCGCTGGTGCAGGCGAACCACGAAGTGCGTATTTCTGTTTAATAATGATTAGCCATTCGATTTACTTTTTTAAAAACATCTTTAAAAAGTAAAATCTACACAAACAAGCCAAACAAAAATATGGCCGAATAATAACTTTTATTATGTCATTATGTTACAACTGATAGTGTACATGTTCTCTTAATATAACATGTGTTAAATATTACAGTTTGAGAAAATTTGTATTTGCTATGTTAATGGAGTTAAATAACATATATTTCTGTCAAATGTCCTGTACCTGAGACAGAAAATCTCTCTCACTCTCTATCTGGCAGGTTGTATTTAAATGAAAGTCCTGCATAAGTTAAAAACCCCTCCCACGCTCCACTGTGTGAACATAATATTTAGACATTTTTAAAAACACATTTTCACTATTGCTGTCAGCTACACGTCATAATTATACCATGAAAACAGAAAGCACCTGTGAAGCGGAACAAAGTATTTATTGATATAGTTAAACCTCCTTATGTAAACTGTTGGCTGAAACGAGCCACTAGCCAAATGACAAATCTTTCATATACACCTACTGCAGCAACTTAACAGGAAATTTGGGTTTGAGAAAAGGTGTGTGGGTGTGCAAGTGTGCGTCTGTGCAGATGTGAACATATGAGAAATCAAGCTTTCCTTCGTACGGAACACTGAAAAAACAAATCATTTGTCAAAATAATTCAGACATTTTAAATAATTTCCACATGTTCCAGTTATGTCAGTCTTTTAATAGCCAGGGAATTATGCCCTAATTTACACATTTGCATTACTCCGCACACACATATGAGTCCATCCTGTGTCACATTTCTTCACTTTCTAGACCCACAGCAATTGATTTAGGACAAGCCTAATGCCATGTGCTTCGACAGTTCAACACGCCGAGCCCATGGTGCCATTACAACAGCCTCCTGACCCCCTCAGGCAAAGAGCTGGCCCTCTCTGATAATATTTTCGTAGGCTGTGAATTATAAGTGTTTAAAGGGGGCACTAATCTCAGGGAAACACCCATGCCAAGGGCTGCTTAGCATCACTAAACCACAAGTCTGGACCCAGGGCCTGCAGCGCCAGGTTCTCAGCCAAAGTTAAAACATTCATTATAACAATTATTTTTTATGGCATATCTGACTTTTAAGAAAGTATACAGTGGAAAATAAAAGCAACAACTGGGATGAAATACAGCGAAGCCATCCTCGTCAGATTTAAACCCATGACAGGACTTATACCAACTGCGTTTCTGTTGGGTTTCTCGAAAGTTTCACAATCTTCACTTAGCCCAAAATGCTCAACTGCAGCCAAATCGTGAGGACACTGACTTGCGAATCTTACAATTAACAGATTTGTTGGAAAAAAGTTTGGGATAAGTTTTTGTTAACAGATTTGTTGGAAAAAAGTTTGGAAAAATTTTTTAAAACGAGTGAGGCTGTGGAACAAAATGACCTTGAAACACCTTTAAATGCTCTTGGAATTATTCTGATGGGGGCCATTAACCCCCCCACGTCCCCCAGAAATTTTACTTTTATTTAATGTATTTTTTAGGAGGTTAATAATAAACCAGAGAATCAACTGTCCAACAAGGCTTCTGTAACAAACGTTTGCCATGTAGAGCATATAATTTGTCCTGTTTTAGTGCCGTAACCAAGTCTTTTTATCTGCTAGTAGATTCATTTTGACTGTAAGGTCGAAAAAAAAAATTAAAATAAAAAAGGACTAAGGCACAACCTTATGTCTGCTCAGCCAAAAAATATTACAAAAAATTAGGAACAACCATTATGGGCCCTGGAAGAAATAACCAAAAATCAGAAAGCAAAAAAAAGAAAAAAAAGAAAAAAAGAAATCTATATTAATAAAGGTGATGGAAACAGGAACGGTATGTTGGGTAAGAAAAAAATATTTTATTATTTATATGCAATGTGTTCAGAATTAAAAAAGTATGTTCTACTAAAACTGCTGAGGAAATGATGTCAATTGCTTAAAAAAAAAAAAAAATCCCACCCAGCCTTAAGGACAGAGCTTTCGACCTGTGTACACCAGCCAATAGAAGGAACGAGTGGTTAAACCTTCTAAAAATATACCAAACTTTATGAACCTTGGCCAGGTGGAGCAGCACATGAAAGGCCTAGCTCAGTGTAAAAAATAAAAGAAATATTATTTACACTTTTAATGCCACATTTGTGGCAAAGTCCTGCAAACGTAGCCGGCTCTGAAGTCCAAATTCCTCTGGAAAGTCTGTTTTCATACCTTATTACAAATTGAATTACTTATTAAAAACTATGAAATAAAATCTCTCATTAGGGATTCAACTTCGTACCGAGGCACGCAGAAAAATTAAACTTTTCTATTTTTACAGTGTGTTGTCAGAGACAATGCCAAGGGCTTTAC